TCTTCCCCAAGCTAAACAAACCCAATTCTCTCAGCCCTTCCTCATAAGTCGTGTTCTCTAGACTTTTCATGAGCCTCTTCCCTAGACTTGTTCCAGCACCTCAGTGGCCCCTTGAACTGAAGGGAGGGAGATGGCACTTTCCTGCTCACCCTGCCTGCACAAACTGCTGCACAAATTGTCACCCTGACCCGATGTGCTTGCACTGTTTGCCCACCCTACTCATGCTCCTGGTCACCCATGGTCCCTAGAGATGTTTAAGTTCTCCCACAGTTTTCCCAGCTATGTCCCCTCCTCACCAGTTTGTCTGCCTAATTACTTTAGATCCCTAGTTAGATTTGATAAAAGGTTACAGAAGAACCTCAGTGTTTCGGACTATAATATTCAGGTCCAAACTGCACAATGACAGAGGAAAAACTCATCTTCCTTTTAGAATAAATAGTAAGAGCTTTTTTTGCACTTAAAATTAGGATATCTTCCCCCCAGAATTTTGGCAGGCATTTATGACTTTTATAGAAATTGCACTATAAAATTTGCATTATAGCCAAAAACCTTCTTCAGAAGTAAATCATAGAATCATAGAATTTTAGGATTGGAATGGACCTTACAGATCATCTAGTCCCAACCCACTGCCCTGCGCAGGGACGACACCTGACTAGATCAGATTGCTCAAGGCTTCATCCAGCCTGGCCTTGAACACTGCCAGAGTTAGGGCAGCCACCACATCCCTGGGCAACCTGTGCCAGTGTCTCACCACCTTTAGAATAAAAAACTTCTTTCTGATATTTAACCTAAACTTCCCCTCCTTCAGTTTGAACCTGTTACTCACTGCAGTACACAGAGTCCTTCTCTCCAGCTCTTTGTAGGCCCTTCAGATATTGAAAAGTTGCTCTGAGGTCACCACACAGTCTTCCCTTCTCCAGGCTGAACAGCCCCAGCACCCTCACCCTGATGCTCCAGACCTCTTCTCAACTTCATGGCCTCCTCTGGACTTGCTCCAACATTTCCATGTCCTTCTTATGTTGAGGACACCAGAACTGTGTGCAGTATTCCATGTGGGGTGTCAGGAGAGTAGAGTAGAGGAGAAGATTCACCTCTTTTGACCTGCTGCCCACACTTCTTTTGATGCAGCCCAGGATTCCATTAGCTTTCTGGGCTGAGCTCACACTGCAGCTCATGGTGAGCTTCTCATCCAGAGAAACTTCATTCCATCTAATAAATTCAGTTCACTGATTTCAGATTTGGCAAAAAACACAGCTTAAAAGATTAGACTTGAACTACAGGCTGTATCTACACTCCTTGTTATCGCAGAGATGTAAAATACTCAAGCTGTATTTTCCTTTATTGTCAACTTTTAGCCTTCACACTTGGGTAAAATAAGCATATTAGCAGAGGAGAGCAGCATCCCAATTCCTCCCCTTGTACAGGTTGTACCAGGATCTTAAATAAGCCAATCCTTATTCTGGACAGCTTGAAATAACTCCAAAAGATGGGTCCCAATAATTTGATACTAAGTGTTTTTGTATAAACGTTTTTTACTATCAAGTAACTTATATCCCAGGGTATCCCAGTAGCCATTCCTTAATTTGTTCACCAAACAGAATAAACCATTTTCCAGGTGCATTTCTGGATACAATATTCCTGTTGAAGTGAAAGTTGCATCCTTTTCAAATGCCTGAGAATCATATGTCAGGGAGGTGTTCTTTTTTGAGGAGGAGGAGACAACAGTGGGTGTCTGACCCTTACAAGGCTGGACAGGTATCCACTCTGCTTTCCCTAGGCTGTGGTAATTAAATACTCTGGTATTACATATTTAATACTGTGGTATTATATATTTAGAGGCTGTGCTTTTACACCTTCATGGAAAAAAAACACTTACTAGGTTATGTAATGAGCCAGTCAAGCTCCAAAACATAAATGGCAGTATATTTACCTTTCTGGAAGGACTGACAGTTCCCCTGACTTTGCCCGAAGTTGGAATAGGGCTGAACACAAACTCAGCACTTCAGGAATGCACTTCGGCAGAGCAGCAGTGTCAAAGTGACTCTTTTAAAGAAAGAAATCAAACCAAAAGCATTGCCAGAATATAGGGTTTAGAGCAAAACTTACTTGATCATGAGGCTTTTGAGGTCCTGATCTTCACCTTCTCGTAACTCATATTTGCTTGTCAGAGACAGTGAGATCTCCGTTTTTGCAAGCTGATTCAATGTAGTTTCCCTGTTGGGGTCATTGGGATCAACAGCTCCTTCCCCTGAAAGGAAATATATTTTACTTCAAGTTTTCCAACTTTCCCATGATTCAATGCCTCAAGCAAACAAGTACCTAGACGAATCACTGTGAATTGGGATTGAGTGAACCATCAGCAAGTTTGCAGATGATACGAAGCTGGGGGCGAGTGTCGATCTGCAGGAAGGCAGGAG